TTTTTTTATTTCTCTCTATTACTTTATCTTATGTAAATGCACACCTTGTCACCATGAATATAACGAACAAGGACAGACCTGCAGCCTAGGTGATTTGCTATTAGCGGTAGGAATGTGCACAAAACAGTTTAGGCAAGCATCCAAAAGCACATATCTATCCAGTGGTCTACATACTGAAAAGGAACTAGAAATGATCAGGTTTCCATCACAGGATTTTTAGAAACTTGATATTGGCAATATTGAAAATATTTTAAGGAGATCCTTTTTAAGGTATTTCTGGTTTTGAAAAATTTTTAGTCCAGATCAAATTACAGTGAGGGAGAAAAGGTAAGAGAAAATAGAATAACAATTGTACTTTGCCTTAAATTTAGGAAAGACCAGAGCATTAATTTTTTAGTATTAATTTTTAACATTTATTAATAAAAAGTCACCGAAACTCAGGTAAACTCCTTATTGATGATTTCAATCTTTTCTTTTCGGTGGTGGTGGGGGGTAAGATATTTGATATATCCTTTGAATATTTAAGTTGTTTAAGTCATTCCATTAACTCCGCATTGAGTACCCAGATAGATTTTTTTCCTCCTGCAAACAATTGAATTTTATTTTCCTTTTGCCTCCTTAAACACAGCCCAAGTATGGGATATTGGCATTAGTGTGGTTATACTGAATTTTTAAAGGTATCTTCTTAGTCTCATCTACCAATCATTTCATTCAGAAGAATAAAGTAAAACTGAAGGTAGCCCTACTTATCTTGTTTCATGAGTAGCTTTTATCATAGGAATATTTCATACAGTACTCATTCAATATCTACTGAGTTTATATACACATAATGGAATTTTCAAAAACCAGAATGTACTTAGCATACATGAAGTAAAAAAACTACCAAATATTAGAATAACTGAATCAATAGAATTTATAAACAGATATCTACTTTGCCCATTTGTACAGTTAAAATGCAAATTATGTATTAATTAAAACTCTGAACAGACAGAAAAATGACACTTAAATGCTAATACAAAAACATTCTTTCTTTGCATGTAGGAATGTACAATATGAAACTGTCTCCCTCAACCACTTAATAACTAAGTATTAAAGTAGCAGGTAATAGATCTTGCAAGTATAGCAAATGGAGGGAGGTGTGGGGTGAGTGTGGGGAGAAATCCAAAAAGGGTTCCTGGAAAAGCAGTAACTTTGTACACACTTTTAATCATTGCTGAGAAAACAGGAGAGAACTTTTGTTAGCCTTATATAAGTTCAACATCAAGAGAGTAAAGGTTAAGAATCCCACTTTCAGTTCCAGTGTGGAATTAGAAGTCCATTCTCCCATCAATACACAGGGGATTTGCACATGAGAATAGGAGTTACATGAGCAAATCCTTCAGGGATCTGTGAGAAAATAAACTCTAACAAGAACATTTGAACTACCTTTATAATAGGCTGATCGTCATAAAAGATATGAATGTGGAAATGTTAATATGTCAAGAAAAATTTACAAACACATGTCTAATGTATAGACATGCATTCATATGCCTATATAAACATATATGTATATATTTGAAATCTGTACATGTCTACATGATTATGTACTAACTCTAGTCAGTAAAACTGCTCATTAAGTGCTCCTACTGTTTTTTGTGTGGGGGCTGTTTTGAAGACATGATTATAGCATTTAAAATTTAATTTCAACAATGGAAATAATACTATGGAAAAACTCAAATGCACTTCATGTGAATTTTTCTTTTACTTTCTTTCTTTTTCCTATTTTTTAGTAGCCTTAACCATAAAACAGAAAAATATGTTTATTACATTTTTTTCTTAGTTGGGCCTTTTCAACAATAGATAAAGCATCTCTATTTTTCTTTAAAAACCAGCAAATTTTCCATTTTACTTTGCCAACAACAATGTGGATTTTCACAAGCAAATTTTAGCATAAAACATTTCCTCATTGTGAGAAAAGTGGTGCATTCTAGTAGAAATTAAGATAGATTTATTCTTATACTAACATATATCATAATATTAAAACCTATAAGGAGGGGGGGTGCAAGGCTAGTGTTTATTAGATTATTTCAGTCCTTCATAATCTGTTTGCTTACTCCTACAGCAACTTGTTGATAATAGGAAGTCTTTTGTGAGAAACGACATGAAAAACAATAAAAAGCATCAGATTTAATAAAGTATCTAAGGAAAGTCTTAAAATGACACCCACACTCTGAAGGGAAAGCCAAATTTGCTTTTTCTGAGGGGAATTTGTGTTCGTCAGGAAGGGTTCCTGGAGGCTTTGTTTTGAGGCCTTGATGTGTGACCAGTGCGCTACGGGCCGCCCTTCACCCTTGCCCTTCTTCTACCACTGCTCTGCCCACCCATACTGACACCACAGGGGGAAGGGTTTCAGAGCAGAAAGAATCAAAAGCTGAGGGACGGGGAAAAAAAAGTGCTTTTCAGGGTCTGATGTGTGGGAATCAAATGAGAGGCCTAGCTCAAATCCGGTCGCCAGGCAACCAAAGTGATATGCTGAGGGAATATCATTAAAGTTGGAAAGTAAGCAGTCTCTCTGAATTAGTAAACCAACCACAGGATCGGCAATACACCCGAACTCTGTCGGTGCCGGAGTGCAATTTCTCCAAGGAGAACAAGCTAGGGGCTTTGCTAAGTTAAAGGAGGAGAGGAGAGGGAGAGAGAGAGAACGCAGCTGATTTGTAGAGTTTTTTCATAAAAAAAAGACAATGGCTGTCCAGACATGGAGTTGGTGGTGAAATATGGTAACTGCCACGGCTGCAGCTGGCTCTCTGACACAAGATTAATAAGTTGCCGTTTCCTAGCCGACCAGAACCGAGTGGGAACTATCCAGCATTTTATCTTGAATTGTGGGTAACAGCCTTACTGCAAGCTGGCCTAGTTTACTGCTCTGTTTTTTCCACATCTCCCAAAGTGCAGCAAACATCTGTGACTCTAATGAGGTCATCATTGAGGGTGTCCAGCAAGCCAGGCCCTGAGAACTGACCTCACCTCTGCCTGAACATAAAGTACAAGTGCTGTGGGGAAGCAGGACAAATTAAATGGGGGAGCTGGCACTTGGCTGTGAGTTAAGCTCTTAAGAAACTTTTTGCTGTGATTAAAAAAGAGAGGGAGAGAGAGAGGGAGAGAGAGAAGAGATTGAGGTTCAGAAATGACAGTACAACAAAGCAGTAGCAAGCCTACAGAATTACATTTAGGCCTCACTGATGAATATTATCACTGACATGAACAAGCAAAGCTTATCTGGGCCTTCCTTCTTGAAAGGCTGAATAAAATTGAATTGCCAACTTCTGCATTTTACCACATTTTGGTGGAAATGGCTCGGAGACCTACATGATTTTAAAGGAAGCCTGGGTGAATTCAACCACAAAGTGTATATATATATGTGTGTGTGTATGTGTGTGTGTGTGTGTGTGTGTGTGTTTCTGAGAGCAAAATTTCAAACATTATGCAACATGTTATATCATTTATAAGTAATTTGATTACAGGCATAGAAAACAAATCAAATTTCTCCAGATAGGTCTCCCCCCCCCCATTATTCTAACAGAGTCATGGTTTTCATAATAACACCACTAAGCAAACATGCAAACACAACCCAAACTACATTCAAATCAGCGAACTGTAATAACTTTGTTTAGTCATCTGTAGAAAGAACATTGAAGAGATGACTCTACCTACTACTTCCTTAAAACAATCCATTCCAATGGGATGAGAAATGTAAACTTTTAAAAAGAAGGAAAATGTTTTAAGTTTGGAGGGAAAAAACATATATCTGAAAAATGTCCCTATCATTAATTTATATGTACATTGGCCACATGTTGATTATATATTGTACATTTTGGCTATATCTACTCACATTGAGAACAATATAATCAGGGACATCCTCTTTGTTACCTAAGGAAATGGCTATGTGGGTAAGTCCAGAAGGAGGAAAAAAAAAATGGAGGTCACCTTCAAACTTTATCTTGAAACCTTAATTAACTCACTCGGTATGCAGATACATTTTTCCCTGAGAGCAAATCAATAAGGTACAGAATGCCATGCTATGGTAATAATGAGCTTGATTTTTAAAAAGTAGGTATATTATGATGGAATTAAATTTGCCAAGTTGATATTTTATTATTCTCACACCATTATCATATTTTAGACTAGATCCAATGCAAGAAATACAGAGAATTAGTAATAAAGATGACATCACTTTATCAAAACTAGTAAATGTTATATAAAAATGTCATTTGACTAAATATGAGATGTAGGTGGCACAGGACAGAGAAGGCAGCAGCAGGTGGGCTGGCCAGAAGAATGTGTTGGCCATTTCTGAGTGATGCTGAGCCTTTCTGCTGTGATATCAAGAGGGGACTCAGATGCTATCCTATGCTTAATTTATAAATAATGGACATTATGTCTAGGGGATGATGATGAACATGTGCTTAAATGTGGGACATTCAAGATAAAGGATCTAAACAGTAATGCTTGAGAGAAGTTCTAGTATTACCTCCAAGTCCCTCATTAAAGACAGTTTCACCTTAGAGGAAGAAAGGATGCAGCTCACCCTTCAATGTCTTGAGCTGGAGTTTAATGGAAAGAGAGGCTTATGAAAAACAAAACAAAAACCCTCTGCTTATATGTGAATTGGGCAGAGAAGCAGTTGGGGAGCAGAAATCTATCCCATTGCACTCTTTCTCAGTTTTCAGGAAGGGCTTGCCTAATGCCCATTTCAAGGCTGAGTTTATTTTTTAAATGCAAATGAAGGAAGTGTTGCGTTCAGCTTTGCAAACAGTTTTCAGAAATCCTGTTGGCCTACATTTAGCTGGGAAGCAGCACCCAGTACCAAGTATGGAGACTCAAACAATCAAGTAGTTGTTTGCCTCACTCACATTCCTGAGGCAATCTGGTTCCAGCTGAACTCCTTGGGAACAGTCTGGGCTATGTACCCCTGGGGCATCTGCCCCAATTAGCATTGACCCTTGGGGGCCTCCTTGCTGGCTCTAGGTTACTCCCAACCTCTTGAACTCTGGGTAAACCAGATTATTTTTAGGAGCTCTAAGCTTTCCATAGCCCCAAGATGAACTGGACATCCAGGCTCACTATCAGAAATTCAGTCACCTTGGAATGCTGAAACCAACATGGCCTGTTCCAGGCTCTCTGAACCAGGGTAAGACATGAGGGGTGGGATCTTTGTGGTGATTGTGGAACAATAGGAAAGAAGGCTCAGAGAGTGCTTGGCCAGGCTAAAACTCTATAGTGCGTGGAAAGAGTACAGGCTGTAGAGCCTCACAGAACTGAGTTTGGCTCTTGGATCCTCCCTAACTAGCTGGGTGACCTTGGCAAGTCACCAAGCCCTACCAAACTTCAATTCCCTCCTGTGAAAAATGGGGACAAAGATAGTTATCCTGCAGCATTTCATGAAATCAAATGGTCAATAAAATGCCTGGCTTACAGAAGGCCCTCAGTAAATAAGAGTTAATTACAAAGACCAAAGCCCATCATGTCTGACCAGGGCAATTCTACTCCTGAGAAAATCAGGGGCTACATAATTCTTGAAATCCTTCTTTTTTGTTATGGTTCATGATCAGTTTGCTACCACCCCTTCCTTTCTAAGAAAACAACCACAACTGCTTTTTGTGCCTCCTCCATCCAGTACTTCTAGGAACTGTGGGGGTGACAGAAGGGATATAGGACATGCACTGCAGCCTTGAGGATCTGGCTGCAAGAACAACACTGACAGAGCATGAACCAACCAACTCGAGAACAGTTCAGGCATCAAGCTGCACAATGCTGAGTACGCACAGTGGGATTTGAGCCAAGAGAGGAATCCGCATGTGACCAGGGAATGCTCCATGGAAGTGTGGGGTTTGGTCAGTATTTATTGAGTGTCTACTACTATGAGCCAGATACTGAGATAGAGCCAAATAAGGTGCAGCCCCTGCTCTAAGGAACTTAGAGCCCAGTGAAAAAAGACACATTAACATACAATTTCAAGATGGTGCAGTGGGTGCTAAGAATGGGTTTGGGGGAGAGAAGTGTTATAAATAAAAGCATGCAAGAAAAAGGGCTTAAGTTGGCTTTGAAGGATGAATGGAGTCTAAATAAATCCTAGGCAGCATGAACAAAGGCATAACAGGCACAAGCAAGGAACAAGGGAATCCCAGGGAATGAGCAAGGTACTCTCATGTGTGTCTGTGTGGTCTGAGAGAGAGAGAGAGAGAGAGAAAGAAAGAGAGAGAGAGAGAGAGAGAGAGAGAGAGAGAGAGAGAGAGAGAAAGAGAGAAAGAAAGAAGGAGAGAGTGAAACTTTTTTTTTCCTTTTTGATTGGACAGAGGGTTTAGCCTAAATCAGCTTTTCTCAACCTTGGCACTATTGTTATTTTGGGCAGATAATTCTTTGTTATGAGGGAAAAGCAGGCTGTTCCGTGCATTGTAGCATGTTAATAGCCTGGTCTCTATCCACTAGATGCAACTAGTGTCCTCCCTGCTCTCCCTGCTTTCCTTCTACCCCCTGCACCCTGCCCTACCCTAGAATGACAATCAAAAATATCTTCAGAATTGCTAAATATCCCCTGTGGAGCAAATCCCACCCCACTCCACCCGACTGGCCCAGAGAAACATGCTATAGCTTTTGATTCTGGCTTGCCTGGAATCCCACTTCTAATCCTCTTATGTCTAATTCCTGGAATTTTGTCCACTTACCAGATTATTTTTGAAGGAGTAGATAAGGGATCTTTCATTAATTGCCAAACTATTCTGCTTAATTGAATTATATACTATTATAAACATCTACTAATATATTGACTCTCCACTTTTAACATTAAAGTATGAGTCCATTATGCTTTTTATGTCTGAGAGCTGTAGGCTTAAATTTTGCTATTTACACTTATTTTTATTTGTTTCTTTGAAAACAGTAAAACAAGTTTTATGCATCTGTGACTTTCCCACCATGTTTTCCCAGATATCTTTCTGTTTTATTTTTAAATGGGAGCTATTTTACAAAAAGATTTTTGCCTGAACAAAATTCCTGAGTTAGTCCACTTTAGGGGTTAATAAAATTTTCTTTCAAAGTATAAACATAACTGGGAGATATGAAATACTGTCATTGATGAAATCCATGTTGTGAGTTAAAAAATTACTGTTTGAGAAAGTATTTTAAACCATTAGTTTATACTCAATCACTCCATCTTTATGGATGTTATTAATCGTCAGCTTTTTTCCTTTGCTTTGCTTTTACTCTTAAGAAAAGCAAGGTTTAAAATACATTTTATACAAAATATTTTTTTTTCCTACAATGAGCAGGAAAGAGATACTCTGAAATAATGCTGCTACATGAAGCAAAGGGGATTGTGTGTGCTGGTGCCTCCTTGGAATTGTGTGCAGCAGCTTCATGGGGGTGAAGAGGTGACTGGGGTCCTGGCCCTGGGGAATGTAGAGGTTAGAAGGAGAGAGAACATACAAGGACTTAGGCGACCTGTAGACACAAGGTGCATCTACTGAGATATTTCCCCAGAGTAAAACATAGATGGAATTACATGCTGTTATATCCATCTATTAATATATTGAGCCTCTGCTTTGCTTTTCTTCTTGCCTCTTCTTTCTTGGAAATATCTTTTGGATACTATAAATGCAGAGGATATATAATTACACATTTAGTAACCTTAATTTTCTAAATTCTTCAATTTATTTTGAAATACCATTGGAATTATCCAATATTTGATATTGTGCAATAATGTAAATTTAGCCTCTGCTTTAAAGGTGCAGAGCCCACAGAAAGCTGTCTAAATACGTGCTCAGTGTGAGTCTCTGATAACGGTTGTTGATGACACTGACAGGCAAGGAAGTTTTTTCTTAAAAAGTGTATCCTGTGCTTCAGGTGTGAAAAGAAAGGCTACGATAAGACTCAAATTACATGGATAAGTTGTACAAGAGATAATGCACCTGGATTTTTGTATATCTCAACAAAAGCAATGCCACACATTGTGAAGGGCACGTTCTTAAAGAACATTGGGAAATCTCAAGAACTATTTCTCTATAGCCAAATTAATTAACATTAGGAAAAAGTTAATATAATTCCTCCAAAAAGATACCAATGAGAAAAATTATCTGTTGTTTTGTCTATTAATATTTTAGTAAAGATTTTTTTTTCTTGATCTTTTTTTTTTTTTTTTTTTGAGACAGAGTCTCGCTTAATTGCCCAGGCTAGAGTGAGTGCCTTGGCCTCCTCTCCTCTCCTTTCTCTCTCTCTCCTTCTCCGCCTCTCTTCTTCTCTCTTCCTTCTCTCTCTCTCTTCTCCTTCTTCTCTCTCTCTCTCTCTCTTCTCTCTCTCTCTCAGACCACACAGACACACATGAGAGTACCTTGTCATTCCCTGGGATTCCCTTGTTCCGTGCTTGTGCTGTTATGCCTTTGTTCATTGCTGCCTAGATTTATTTTAGACTCCATTCATCCTTCAAGCCAACTTAAGCCCTTTTTCTTGCATGCTTTATTTATAACACTTCTCTCCCCAACCCATTCTTAGCACCCACTTGCACCATCTTGAAATTGGTATGTTAATGTGTCTTTTTTCACTGGGCTCTAAGTTCCTTAGAGCAGGGGCTGCACCTTATTTGCTCTATCTCAGTATCTGGCTCATAGTAGTAGACACTCAATAAATACTGACCAAACCCCACACTTCCATGGAGCATTCCCTGTGTCACATGCGGATTCCTCTCTTGGCTCAAATCCCACTGTGCTACTCAGCATTGGCTCAGCTGATGCCTGAACTGTTCTCGAGTTTGGTTGGTTCATGCTCTGTCAGTGTTGTTCTTCGCAGCCAGATCCTCAAGGCTGCAGTGCATGTCCTATATCCTTCTGTCACCCCCACAGTTCCTAGAAGTACTGGATGGAGGAGGCACAAAAAGCAGTCGTGGTTGTTTTCTTAGAAAGGAAGGGTGGTAGCAAACTGATCAGAACCATAACAAAAAAGAAGGATTCAAGAATTATGTAGCCCCTGATTTTCTCAGGAGTAGAATTGCCCTGGTCAGACATGATGGGCTTTGGTCTTTGATAATTAACTCTTATTTACTGAGGGCCTTCTGTAAGCCCAGCATTTTATTGACATTTGATTCATGAAATTGCTGCAGGATAACTATCTTTGTCCCCATTTTTCACACGAGGGAATTGAAGTTTGGTAGGCTTGGTGACTTGCCAAGGTCACCCAGCTAGTTAGGGAGATCCAAGAACCAAACTCATTCTGTGAGGCTCTACAGCCTGTACTCTTTCCACGCCACTATAGAGTTTAGCCTGGCCAAGCACTCTCTGAGCCTTCTTTCCTATTGTTCCACAATCACCACAAAGATCCCACCCCTCATGTCTTACCCTGGTTCATGAGAGCCTGGAACAGGCCATGTTGGTTTCAGCATTCCAAGTGACTGAATTTCTGATAGTGAGCCTGGGATCCAGTTCATCTTGGGCTTTATGGAAAGCTTAGCGCTCCTAAAAATAATCTGGTTTACCCAGAGTTCAAGAGGTTGGAGTAACTAGAGCCAGCAAGGAGGCCCCCAAGGGTCAATGCTAATTGGGGCAGATGCCCAGGGCGTAATAGCCCAGACTGTTCCCAAGGAGTTCAGCTGGAACCAGATGCCTCAGGAATCGTGAGTGAGGCAAACAACTACTTGATTGTTGAGTCTCCATACTTGGTACTGGGTGCTGCTTCCCAGCTAAATGTAGGCCAACAGGATTTCTGAAAACTGTTTGCAAAGCTGAACGCAACACTTCCTTCATTTGCATTTAAAAGTAACTCAGCCTTGAAATGGGCATTAGGCAAGCCCTTCCTGAAAACTGAGAAAGAGTGCAATGGGATAGATTCTGCTCCAACTGCTTCTCTGCCCATTCACATATAAGCAGAGGGTTTGTTTTGTTTTTCATAAGTCCTCTTTCCATTAAACTCCAGCTCAAGACATTGAAGGGTGAGCTGCATCCTTTCTCCTCTAAGGTGAAACTGTCTTTAATGAGGGACTTGAGGTAATACTAGAATTCTCTCAAGCATTACTGTTAGATCCTTTATCTTGAATGTCCACATTAAGGACATGTTCATCATCATCCTAGACATAATGTCCATTATTTATAAATTAAGCATAGGATAGCATCTGAGTCCCTCTTGAATAGCACCAGCAGAAAGGCTCGCATCACTCAGCCAAAATGGCCAACACATTGTCTGGCCAGCCCACCTGCTGCTGGCCTTCTCTGTCCTGTGCCACGCTACATCTCATATTAGTCAATGACATTTATATAACATTTACTGTTTTCGATAAAGTGATGTTCATCTTTATTACTAATTCTCTGTATTCTTGCATTGGAATCTAGTCTAAATGTGGATAATGGTGTGAGAATAATAAAATTATTCAACTTGGCAATTTAATTCATCATAATATCCTACTTTTAAATCAAGCTCATTATTACATAGCAGGCATTCTGTAGCCTTATTGATTGCTCTCAGGGAAAATGTTTGCATACCGAGTGAGTTAATTAAGGTTTCAAGATAAAGTTTGAAGGGACCATCCATTTTTTTTTCCTCCTTCTGACTACCACCATAGCCATTTCCTTAGGTAATCAAAGAGGATGCTCTGATTATATTGTTCTCAATGTTGAGTAGATATAGGCCAAATGTAAAATATATATCAACATGTCCATGTACATATAACATTAATGAATAGACATTTTCAAGAATAGTTTTTTCCCTCCAACCTTAAAACATTTCTTCCTTCTTTTAAAAGTTTACATTCTGCATCATCTCGGACATGCGATTGTTTTTAAGGAAGTAGT